ATTTATATTCGTTTAGCAGACAATAGTTGTCTTCTTTACATTTTAAAAGACAGATCTGATTAGTTTGGTACGCTTTAGCTTTTAAATAAAACGAAGCGGTTTCTTCCAGATATTTACATAAGTGGTTGGGGTGTTATTTATGAGATCGCACTTGGAGTTTTTGGTGTCATCTCTTAATTATTCACGTAGCGCCGCCGTGAAGCTTTGCGTGATAACGAGCCATTAGGACGTAATAATATGGCACAACATAAGAAGGATTAAGGGGCAGTCTGCGTACGTGACCCACGTCCTATTTGTACGAGTTTCACTATAAATAGGAAACGAGCTGATTTTCCAATGTAATTTCCAACGCGCGCGCACCCTCGCTGGGGTATCTTTGTTATTCGTGGCAGTTGAGGCAGAGGATGGATATTGAGTTAAGGTTGTATTTGTTCAATAAATAAGTAAAGCACGTACTGTTGTGACTGTGACTGCACAAAGCGAATATGAAGTCGAAAAGCAGCTAGAAAAACATAGAAGACGTGGAATCTGCGCAGAAGTCTTCATCGAATCTTAGTTCAAATATTTGCGCAATATTCGCCGTTTGAAATAATTTACATGAAAAGACATTGAGCTTAGTGCAAAACGGTTTAAAAGGGCGACAGCCAAAAGCAAACAGAAGTAATTGGGCGCACCGGTCTCACTGCAAAGTAAGGGTCGCCTATACACGCCTGCCATTACGAGGGAGTTAAAGCTTCGGCCATATGTTTTTACTCCTAAACTACCATTAAACTGTCAGTTTTTTCTTCCACCTTCTTTTTTTTCGCCTTTCGTTAAGCTACATCTTCCGCAAATATCTACGGAGTCATGATGAATTTGCACACCATTAGTTTAGTATGATTAACGAAAGCTTCGAAAAGATAAGGTTAACAGACATGTCAGATTGCTGTCTCAATAGCCTACCATTAACAAAATGTTAAAATATCTGGAAACTTTTATTCTCTCGCCGAAAGGAATTTAACGATCGTACTTGATCCTTTTCTCAGATTATTGAAACGAAATGCACGAGTTTATTACGTTAAATTTTTATCGTCGCATCTTGATATGTCTCTATTTATATCTAAAAGGAAATTAGTAAATTGTTTAACGTGGCTTTAAAAGCTGTAGGCTTAATTTGTACTCTTTTTCTTAGACGACTGAAAATATGTGCCAAAAGTAGGTATACAGGATGTTCTGTTACGAAATCATATTTGGAGGCGGTGTTTCGATTAGGTGACTTTCACTATATAAAGATATCGAATTTTTCATACATTGAAACAACACACTCTATTTGCCATAAAAGTTCTGTTTAAATATGAAAGTACAAACGATCATGACATTTGCATCATGTTTATAATGTATAGAAAACAAGGGAGGCACATTTGCACTTTGCATTAACATGACATTGGACTGACATTTTTAGTTTCGATCCACTGTATGTATTTACAGTTCAACGTCGAGAATCCATCGATCCAACTCGTTCATATTAATTTCTAAATAAACGTCCAAGACTGAGGCATGAAAGTACTTTATGTACATATTTGATAGATATTCTTGCATTGTACTATACTGTATCGTATGATATGGTAGAATATTTTACTGTACTGCACAAAGCACACAAAACCGTTATTTGTGCTTTCATTTGATAAATCACTGGCCAATTTAGAGATTTACTACTTGACTTACTTGAAATTAACTCACGCTCAAGTAGTGAAAACGATTGAACAGTCCGGTCAGGTTAATATTGCTCTGATAATACGATTAATTTCAGTTCGCGTAATTATTTTGGTTATTAAGCTTATCACCTGACAAATGATATTTAAATTGATAACAGGCGAAATTGTTGCTTTTAAAGGTGTGTTTGGATATTCGCTTTTGCTTTTGTTTAATTTGATAAAGTGTGCAGATTTTTCTTTGTGTACAGTTTCTTTGAAATGTATTTGTTAGGCATTATTTTTGTATAAAATGGACAGGTGTGATAAAAATTAATAGGTTTGAATAATGCAATAATTGATAAAATTTTGTTTACGTGATAAGGCAACTGTTTTTACAGTACGACGAAGATAATGTGGGTCTTAGCAAAAGTGGAAGAACATGCAATATCGCGTGGATTATTAGAGAATGCCGGAGAGAGACGCTCTGGGACGCTTACACAGTTTCCGATGACAACAGTAGGGCTTCTCTCGAAGTTTGTAAACAGTGTTTGTCCTCGCAATAAAATTTCTATTTGACCTAGTTTTTGGAAATAAAAGCATTGAAGATTATCATCATAACCAACAATTAAGAAGATAGCGTCTAAATTCAACAAAAAGAAGTCTGCATACCGTGAAGACCAAAAGTAGTTCTCTGGTTGTTCGTCTGTGGTGTTTATTGAACATTAAATTTGTTTTAAGTACATTTAGTGTAAGTAGTGTTAGATTTAAGGAGTCTGTAATGAGTTGCAACGGTTTGTTTTATTTAAACTCCAAATTTACTTTCGTCATTCTTACGCCATCTGTAAATCTGTTTAGTTTAAATGTAAGTTGAGTGTTATAGGTTTCATTTACCATAGTTCTTTATTTTCCCGCTAGAGGTTACGCTATGTACCTTCCTGCATTTAATTCTACCTCTTCTTCTTTAATTCTGTCTTCCGTACAAGCTGTACTTGTTCCTTTAGATAAGATTCTGCTTTCATAGTGGTTGCTTGTGAATTTTTTTAATACGCCATTACTGTACTTTGGACTTTGGAGTTGTTCTGTCTATTTTTGATATTTTCACGGTGTGAGGAATGTACAGATATAACTCAGCATTATTCTTAACACGCAATTCTTTTAGGGTTTCTTCTCTCCTCGTTCTCTCCTAATTTTCTCTTCTGGTACGAGTATACTTTTTCCTTAATTTTATTTGGTTATTATCTACTACGTATAATACTATCGACATCCGTTGTGAAATATTTAATGGAAGCTAAAATTGAAGCAAGCCAACAAGAAATAAGAGGTACGATTCAGGATCAGATACAAAGCGTCCAAGATTTGATGTCCCAAAACAGATTCATACAGTAGAAAATGAAATGAAAGCTAAGTACAATGAACTACGAAGAAAATTTACGTTATTGACTGAAGAACGTAAAAAAAGTGATGTGTCATCTGTGATAACACAAGATGTACTTGCTGTTCCACAATCGTCCCGCAAAGAACCGTATTAAAACGTTGGTAGATACTACAAAAGTTCGAGTTAGGTCACCAACTTTCGATGGAAAATCAGCGTGGTCCACCTACCTAAAACAGTTAGGGGGCACCGCCGATGCCGATACAAATAAGTGGATAGTGAAAAGATTAATGAAGCGGCAACAATCAAAACGACGACTGTGCTGCTGGGGTTGTGGCAATAAGGACGCATTAGAAGAAATTGCTCCGAAAATACAGCGACCAATAACCAGGAAAACTCGAACGGGTCGATGGAAGGAGGCTAGCAAGCTGACCAAGATCTGACCTTACTTGAGGAGAAAAAAACTACAATCATCAAAACTGAGACGGAACACTGCAACTGTCTGCTCTTGTGCTGAGAGAGCTGACGGTTGATATTGGTATTGGAGCCAAGAAAGGTAAGCATCAAGTGCTGGTAGCAGACCTCGTTGATGAGGTGATTTTGAGAATGGACTTGTTCGGGGTTACGATTGACCTAAAGAATGGAGTACTTCTGTTCCTAATCACAAAGAAGAAGACGAGCTGCCACGCGCAATGCTTCTGAATGATGTAATAACTCGCGAGAAGACATAGGGCATAGGGTCGGCTACTCGGGTGCATAGCAATTTACGGCCATGCCAATTGGTTTATGTAATGCCCCCGCGAGTTTGAGAGAGTAATGGAACTGTTCTTGAGAGGTTTATCCTGGAATACATTTGGGCGACGTAATTATGATTGGTCGAACGTTCAATAATTACTGTGTCACCCGAGAACACTGTTAGCCGCCATTAAGACCATTGAACATTTCCATAAGAATCTATATGGCCAAAAGTTTTTGTAAGGACCGACCCCGAGAACTCCGGACAGCTCAAGAAAGTGTCTGATTAAAAACTGAAAAATGAACGAGAAACGGTCAATCTGGGATGAGATATCTCGATACAGTCCAGTTCTTAAGGCGTATTGGGCTCACTGGGACTGATCGTTGCGGTTAAAAGATGGTCTTAAAAGCGTCCTAGGAAATCATGATGGCACGAACGCAACTGTACAGCTAGTGATACTTGAGAGCAGAAAATTAGAACTACTATGCAATGTGTTTTGTAGTTTCTCCAATGAAAATGGTAAATAAATAAATATTTTTCTGTACGGAGTTAATTCATCTGAGGAAAATTGCTGTTTAGAAATTGTTACAAATTGACACCAAACTCGATTAAAAAGTAATAGCTTTTATTTCAGAATGCAATAATCATTGGATATACGCCAGTATGGCGCGGGTAAATATAACGAAATATAAAACCAATTCATGCATTTTGACAAGGGTACAAAGATAGCTTGCAAATATTTCGGCTACCTACATTTAAAGGGCGTGAAATAACTCACGTTAATCGTTAATTTCAATTCGAAATTTTATCCGATTGAATTCATTGTCCCTTTTTACACAAATATAATCGGTCGAAGCTTTGAGCGAAAAAAAGTCAACGTTATAACCCGATTAAGCGAGAGTCCGATTTTATTTTCAAAATAGAGACGGAATTACTGTTTCGAAACCACGATTACTGGTCGTTCAATTATTTAACGAGGAGAACCTGGGGCAAATAATTTTAAGGGTAGGAGTCGTAACATACTTGTTTTGAAAAAAAAATATAAAGGAATGGGGTCGTTGAAGGATAAACACGTAGGTAATTATTAGAATTATTTGGAGAAAGAGGAAATAACAGCGCTCGACTCCACCCTTTCCCTGTAGTTGAGTTAACATGAATGGTTAAACTCGATTTTGTTATTTCAAAAGGGACAATGATAGAGTAGATCTGGGAGACTTACCGTAATAGGAACATCGTGGTGATCACAAGTGTCTAGTCGCCTTCTAAAACGTAGCACGGTATGAGTATTATTTTCATATCCGAGGAGAAGTTGATAGTCCTGACTGGGGTCAACTTCCGGTTCACGATCCGCGGCGCTTGCGGGCGACTCTTTTACATGCCGGTCCTGAAACAAACAATGAATTTAATTAACGGTAACCAAATTAAAGTCTCGGATTAGTGTCGACCCGTATTATATTGTAAAGTTTTAATATATCAAAAACTTTCACATGCACATGAGGGAGAAATATGTTGAAGCATTTCCTCATTAGGTTTGCCATCCCGGATAGCCCGTTTTCGAGCTTAAGGGTATAGTTTATGACTAAGGTTAAGGGGATAATAAAGACAGCTTAAATACGTGTTACTGTGAAGACTACCAACTGGTCCAAACAAAAAGTCTAATTCCAACCAAACTGACACCATATGGAAGATGCGCAGGGAATTAATTAACGAATTCGCTCACCATGTAAAAACTCGATCGATCTTTCAACACACAGATAGATCCATTGTTGCCGTTTTGTTCGTTCGTATATGATAGATTAATTAAATGTAGTCAAGGGAAGCCACCCGACGGGATCGGCAAGGACGAAAGTTAATTTTCCAATGCATGCAACAATAAAGTAAACTGCTTGATGGCATTATGGCATTAAACCTGATCGTTATTCGGAAATTATTCATGTTTTCCATCAAAAAGTAGAACAGGTGCTGACTTTCCCATCTCATTCGGTACCTTACTTTTAAACTACCCCCCAAATTATACAACCCGAAAATCAAAATTTAGTAAAACGAAATATCATTATGCGATGAAAAGTTAATTATTACCTGTGATGGGGATGTTACATTTCCGCCCAATTCTTTTTAAATTGTTTCTGTCTTACTTGTTCCTTATTTACACACCCAAAGATCACTTTAGTTTAGCAATTCCAACTTCAATAGTCCAACTTTCTCAAATGCAAATAAGGCTCATTTGCTTTGTCCACTGTGGATATGTCTTCGTCTATGCTTTAAGGCGTTTGTCCATTGAACCAACTGCTAAAGCATCACTTTATATGCATATTATACTTCTCATGTCTTATAGCACCTGTCGTAAAGTCCTTCGCAAAAACCGACCCCAAAACTAACCGGATAATCAGAGTTTGCAGTTTTCGTCAGTCGCTTTAGAGAGTATTTCAGATTACAAGGAAAAGTGCCTTACAAAACGGACGAAATTTCCGGCTAAGAAGACGTATTGTAGTACTGAAGCTTTTGGGTAAACAAAGACAGCGGTTCGGTAGTATTTTTACGTAATCCAAGAAAAAAAACTACTCTGATTTGATTGATTGTTGATTTATTTGATTGTGTACGTACAAAAATATTGACATTTGCGGTTCCCACGATGAAATTATTATTATTAAAAATTATCATTAATGTTAAAAATTAAGCATGAATAGACAATGGGGAAAGTACAAGTAAATTTGTGTCTAACAATCAGCATGATTGGGATTGGGACCAAAATCTGCACTTGTTCCCGAAGGCGAACCGTTCTGCGGTGCAGGAAGTTACAGGACAGAGAACTCCGGTTGCCGTGCAATTTGCCGATTGATTGGTAAAAGACCCGGCCAAGAAAAAACACTGGGCAATGGATACGTGGAAAACCTGCGTCAGAAATTGTTGGCAAGCGGCAGAATGAAAGTGCAGTACGAGGTGAGGACCCAAGGTGATCGTTGCCTATCTGATTTGGTTTTATCGTCCACAGAGGAGACGCGTCAAGTTAACATGCGTCCAACGTTGGAATGCATTTGTCACGTTGTGTAGCGTCTGCTTTAGTGGCATACCTCTTTTTAGTGTTAGGTAAACATATCGAATTTTGTACCAAATAAAAGCATTTGCGGCAAGTGATGATTTTTGTGTTCAATCAGAAGAAAAAGCCATCGGAAAGTCATCGAATTCTTGAGCGTTTCAAAAGTGGTTTCAATGTTATTGACAAAGAACGCGAAAATCGATCAAAGTCTGCAGACGACGAATTACAAGCATTATTGGACGAAGACACTACTACACAAACACAACAAAAATGATGACGTGGCAGTTGAATGTTACTCGGCAAGCCATTTCCGATTGCCTGAGAACCCACGCATTGATCGAAAAACGCCCAGAATGGGCTCGAAGATACAGTGAAGTCATTATGCTTCATGACCACGCTCCTGCACATTTAGCCCGGGTAGTCAAAGAAACGATATCTTCCCTTGGTTGGGAAATGTTAACCTCATCCACCGTATTCCCCAAACTTGGCGACTTCTGAATATCACCTCTTCTTATCGATGGGACCTCGCACTTTGAGACTTTCGAGGATGTACAAAAATGGCTCGAAGAATGAATGTCAATGATGAGGGTTTCCTTTGGAATAAATTTCCCGAGAAATGAACAACATGTGTAGACAGCGACGGCCGATACTTGGAATCAAACATTTTTTACCAGTGCTCTAAAATATTTGCGGATTTTTCATTAAAAAAAACGACTTTTTAAACTTGCGCACCGAAAAACGTGTAAATTATCACTGTATGTCTTGCGGTTAACGAAAAGATTAATAAAGAGATTGTAACGTTTTCTCTCCCAGAAATAAATTTTGGAAAATATTCAGAAATTTTGAAAAACATATACAGGATGAGCCAGATAGAGTGGGTTTGCTTAAGTACCTAACTTTATTTTTCTTGAAGCTGAGAATATGTTAAATTGATAGTTTTATGTGCTGTGTAAAATCATTTTTAGAAAATTTGGGTTTATGAATACACTAGCTGCCCCGACAGATGCTTTCCTCTTTCTTAGCTATGAATACCTTTTCAAGTCGGACTGAAATAAATAATAACAAAAAATTTGCTGTGGCTAGCACAATTCTGCCCTTTTATGTCTAAGAATATGTGTATCAAATTTGGTTCCAATTGGTTCAGCCGTTTAGCCGGAATGGGGATTTTGACACACTTGCCCCAAAATCTCCCCATCTCTCCCCAAAATAATAAAAAATAAACGCACTCACTTCTAGTTGCTTTTGGCGATTCAGAGCTAGCAACGTACCTTTTTTTTGTTGCGCCAAATGCCGTAATTTGAAAGCAATTATTGTATTTCTGGATATGAATAAAAAAATGTATAGAATGGGGCATTTCCGGAAACCAAGGAATGTAGTGGCTCTGGTGGCGGTACCAATGGCGTCATTGTCACTTGGTCACTGGCGCAATATAATCCCGGGTTGTCAGTTTTAATCTTAAAAGCCTTGCAATGTAGACACACGAAGTTCTTTGGTCTAATAGCAACGATTTACTGTAAACTGTAATCGATTTCTACCATGTTGGTACGTCTAATTAGTAGCATCTTGAAAAAACTAAAATTGACAGTGTTTCTGAATAACTATGTATACCACGTGTTTAGTCTATCAACATTCAACACTTACCAAAAATGGGTATTAGGTATATCAAACTTTTAATATAAAAGGCGTGATTGCGGTGAAATAACCCCGAAACTTCTCAAAAAACTCTGGATAAACTATCCGATCGAATTGACAGCACACTATGATATGAATAAATTAATTTTTTGACGGATACATGCCGATCCATTGCCGATCGACGTAGCTGTTAAAACAATTGCCGTCGTACCGTCAAACGCGCGCTGTTTAAATAATCGATAAGTTTTCTCCAATTTTCTGCGCCAATTTTCTTAGTTTTTCTTGCCGTAAGAACCTTCTTCACAGTATTAGAAAACTTAAAAAAAAAAGATGAATGAAATCGGTAAAGTCGTTCTAAAGTTATTGCGTGACCAGAAGAAACAGGGGTTCATTTTTATATATAGAGATTAGGAGTGTTTGCACTGTTAATTTAGGTACCGTAAATAGGAATATTTTCAAACTTTCAACAATGAGTCAAACTTCATGCCATCGAAAATTGTAGCTATAGTAATGCATATAACTTAAATCTGGTTGGATTTGAGCGGCTTTCAAAAATCATGGCCTTATCGAGAATCCCTCGGTTTTGTGTTCAAAGAGTACGATAATCTATTCTCTAACCTGCAACCCCGATGCCATTTTGAATTCGGAAAATATTATACGAGATATTATATCATCACCGCCTCCTCGAGAAAGGGTAAAAAATATGCTTGATCAAATCATTTTCAATGAAACTCCATAATAGCAATACAGTTTCGTCACTGCTATTCGCCCAAATTAATTTCAAATCCATCATCCTCCATCACCTGGGTGTTAATGTTAATTATGTAATAAAACGGAGTGAGAGTATTCCCATGGACATTTTCTATTCCATCAATCTACTAGATAATCAAAATCTAAATTTTCCGATCCCAATATACTACGTGCGTGCTTGTGTTGTGCGATAAATAATTTGTACCTCAATAATTTGCGTTTATAAATATTACAATATTTTATGCAAATTGCTGTTTTATGTAAAAGCTCAAACTCGGGGATGGTGAAATTTTCCCGTTAGAATATTTCATCTTGAAATATATTGGTAAAAATGAGCTGACATTGAGATTTATTATAATATCTCCACTCGGGAAAGGCGGGTATAAATTTTATAAAATTGGTACAGGAAATGGGTACAGCACTTGTAATGAAATTACCAATTACAGTGATTTAATTCGTTATCGGGCTCAGAACCTCCCCGTCTCTAAGGACCGGGTCGCTTTCCGTTGCGCCAGTTTATCATGGACGACAGTGCAAACCGCAGTCGTACAGACTGTTAAGGGTAGCATCTACAAGAACTGCGTTATCTCATCCGCGACCCGCGGTACGAAAAGAGTTGGCGATAGCGTCGCGCGGGTCACAATTCTGTTGGAACGAGTTTCAAACGGTTTAATTACTCTATCTGGATGACTACAATCAGTTCAGATTCTCGAAAAACTCAACGACACAGAGATAAATTGGATAAAAAGGGAATGTCGGGGAATTAAACTAAACCAGAGTTCGTCGTTGCCGCCTCTTTGACCATCCAATCCTGTTCAATTTCATGCGGCTCTTGTAACTCGAATCCTGAAAATTTTAACTGAAATCCGCCGCAGTTTTAAGAATCGCGTATCGTAGACAATAAATCGAAAAGGAATGCATCAGCACTGACACATGCGCTTCTTTACAACCGTTATACATCAAAA